AAAGCCAATCATCGTTAAACCCAGCAGGAATTGTTTTTAAACGCCATTAAGGCTTCCGTCCAAATATTTAAAATCGAGTTTATGAGTCGTACTCGTGTCAACCAGAAAATTGTTAACTATTAAACAATAGTCGTTGGAGTAGCCACACTGGTTTGCTCTCTGGTTTTTTCTCACATCCACAGATCATCTCTCTTTTCGTATCGAGTAGAACTATTAAATGCCCATTATAATTGATAAATTTATATTAGTTTCCAATTTATAACAGCCAAATTAGAAGTCGCCGCTTTTCAACAGCAGCAGCCTATAGCGCGGTTGAGGCTCATAGTTAGAAATCAGGGCCGGCTTTAAAATAATTTGTTTAACTTTTGGATTTTAAAGTACTGCTATAAATATTTCGCAATGTTATTTTTAACAATTTTGCAGATATTTGATATTATTTATTAGAAAGTTGTTAAAAACTTGTCAGGGATTACATTAAAATTATTTTACTTTCTTATTTAATATTGATTTTTAAAGAGTTATATTAAGTGATAATGTTGCTCGGCTTTCTTGAAAATGTCATTAATCTGTCAAATTTGACGTTTCCAGAGTGAAAAGCCAGTTTTGGACTAGAGCAGTTATCAATAATTTCACTAGTGTTTCAATTTTTTTATTTATAATCAACGAATTTCAATTGACAATTTTGTAAAAATAAATGTATCTGTCTCTTTTCAGTTAACAGCTTTTGACTGGCCTGAATCATGCAGCTTAATTTTATCTGTACAATGTTCTGTTGATAGATTGAAGATATTCACTCATGCTCAAATTTAATTAATTAAAGCAATTTTTTCCAACTAACCTTGTATTTATTTGCACAAATTTCCAGAAAATAGGTCATCTTCAGTGCAATTACGATTACAACTGTTCAAAATTTTGTCCACCTACGTGTAAACAGATTTGGGCACGTCTTACACAATTTCTACGAACTTAACACAAATGTTGTCTTTCTTTATCATAACACAAATGCTTCACCATGACATAAATGTTGTCTTGCTTCACCATGACATAAATGTTGTCTTGCTTCACCATAACACAAGTATTATCTTGCTTCACCATAAATTTAAACTATATCCATCAACTCCGAGTTTCTATACACGTAAGCCATTTTTCACACTTGAAAAACTAAAGTAAACACTATCGAATTTCGGATTTTTGTATTCGGAATTCGGAATTTTCGTATTCGGCTTCAGTAGCAGTGAATTCAAAATTATAATTTAATTTAAATCTTATTAGAGAAAACTGGACTTTAAATTAATTATTCTCATAAGATCAAAATAAAGTAAGAAGTCGTTCACTGTGGAGTACCAAAACCTAAGATTTTCGTCATTTAAGGAAACATAATTATTTGTAGACGAACATAAAAATGGTACCCACATTCTTTAATTTCATTTTCATTAACATTTGTTTAATAAAATCTGGAATGTTTATTGACAATAATATGTTGCAAAGACTAATAAAAGTTATAGATTATGGTAGCGTGGTACATAAACATTTATGTGAATATGATGAAATATATTATTGTAGAAATAAATTGTAAGTAGAAATTTTAATCGTATTTATATCGTCATATGTGTTCTTGAGAAATCCGCGATCAGATACATTTAAACCCAACGTATTAACCATAGTCTTTCAAGAACACGACAGATAAAAATAGACAACCAATAAAAAAAACCTTTAACTAGACGTTGGTCGTAACGACCTGTAATGCGTAATGAAAATTATAATCAAGGGTTGCCTATAATGTACTTCATGTAATGGGAAGTAAAACAATCTGCTTCATGAGGGTACCATTTGTTCCTGGAAGGTTAACTAATGTTGTAATAAACCTCACATCCTCCACTAAGTAGTAGTTGTATAGAAATTGCGAAAATGGAATAAAAGGCATGAGGAAGTTCCTTCAAGTTAAGTTTGAGAACTAATGAGAGTGGAGATTTATTATTACTCTCGTTAGACATTTTCAATCAATTTATGGTGGATAAGTTTAACCAGAGGAAGTCATGTTTTCGATTTACTCGTCTAAATGAAGGGGTAGTGTTGTACCTTGCAATAATAATGTAAAGCTGCTCCAACCAACTACATCTTAGTGTTGGTATAAAAAAAAATGTTTCCATCGTCATACATCAACGAAATTCTCGACAAATTAATAAAAAGCCGTTCTAGGACAAAAATTTAGCATAGAAAGAGTTAATATATTTGGTAAGTTCTTCTCAAAGTGGCTGTTAATTAATCTAGATCAACACTTGCCTTAAATATTTGTTATTATCGTGAATGCATGTTACGAAAGAGAAATCTTGTATAATTTAAAATACAAAACTGGCAAAACCCACTCAACATGTCTCCTTTTTGGAGGCACCTGCTTTCATATTCAAAAATGAAGTTAGGACTGTATGTAATTAATTGGAACAGTTTTTTTTAGAGGCAATCTTAAATGTCAAATTTAATGTCAATAATAAACTCAACACAAATTAGTATATTACCTAGGCCAAACCAATACAGACACTTAATTCGTTATTGGCAACATCGGTTTCCTAGGCCAAACTAATATGGGTGACAACCAAAAACAATGTTTTAGTCTGAAGTTATGATTGTATAGTTTTGCTTTTTTCAGATAATACTGTAAACAGCATAATGTATTGGTCATTATGCTCTTTTTCTGTACGTGTTTAGGCATGCGACTGAGTGTTTAAATATACAAAGAATGTAAATCTTGCGTGGCAAATTGCTAGACTGATTTATGAAAGTACACCAAAGGATCTGTTTCAATCCTCCAAAAATTCAATTAAAAACAAATTCATTTTACAACGTTTGTAGTAATGCAAGACTTATTGGATCTACAGCCAATCTAATAACCCAAAAGATAATCTAAGACAATTAGACAAGACGCTTCATTGTTTTCATGAACGGAAATAGAGGAATATCTTGATGATGTCGTTATCGTGGTATGTAATGAAAGATATTATAAGCAATTCAAACAGTGCAATATCAGCAAATGAAAATATGGAATTACTATTAATAAAAGCAAAACTAAACTCAAGATACTATACTATGGTACGTCGGTATCGGTGTGAGTGAATTCATTGAGTACATTTTCACTCAATATTGGGCATTTTGATCATTTTATTCATTTGTGATTATATTAAAACTAAAATTGAGTACTTTCACTCACAAATATCTGTTCCTACAAAAATTCCTTTATTCTCATAAACTATTTATTTTAAATGTAATTTATTTTAAATCCAATTTGTTTTTTAAATTCCACGTATGTACTACATTTTACCTCTGTACGCGCCACTGTTGTTTACTTGTTTTTTGGAGGCGCTCTCCGATTACAACCAAGCTCGCCAGGTTAGTATTTGACGTATAACCGACCACTTCGTACACTCGATGCACCTGGGCGACTACAGCTACTACCAGAACACAGTGCGTATGCAGCGGTATTTCAGATTTTACATTCAATTTCATTTTAAATTTGAAATGGTTCATCTTACGCCTCCTAAAAATGATGACACGATTTCCTTTGATAAAAGACCGACAACTTTTTGCTCTACTTTGGGTCGAATACGATCCTACTATAGCTATGTAAAAAGGATGTCATATTTTCACCCAATTTATTAACAACTTCAAATATTACTTTGAATTCTATCTACATAGAATTTATTTATATTTGTCAATAACAGTGTCTAACTTCATTTGATTTTGATCAATGCTATTTCTGAAAATATTCCAAGTAAAACGTATTTCGAAGTCTATTTTACATAACCAAACTTCCAAATAGAGTCATAATTCTGGAATAAAAAATAACGTATAGTATAACTATAGAAAAGATTTCCTTATTTATTTTACTGACCTTATCAGTAACTTCAAAGATGATTTTGAACAAATGAATAGATGAAAATAATTTCTCTGAAATTAAAAACAACCCAGCTATGTAAAAAGACTTATTTATGGTACTGAATTTATCTGTAACTTGTAAGATAGGTTATATTTAATATAAGTACTTTTGCCAATTACAGTTTCTAACAATCGTGTATTCAAAGCAATCGTTGAAACTATTTGAAGTCACTGTAAATTTTCAATAAAATAGTCTTTTTTACGTAGCCAAATTTACTTCAAAGATGGTTTCCAACAAATGAACATCTTTGTCAGTAATAACGATCATTCGATCAGATCCAAATTTGAAACATTTCGAAGATGGTATTAAATTTCCATAAAAAGAAATTACATTTTTTTTTATATATAGCGGTATTTGCAAGTGCTATTACATCTATGAAATTAAAAACGACCAGCTATGTAAAAAGACGTCCTTACATATTTATTTTTACTGAATTTATCAACAATTTTAAATATGCTTTTAAAAAACTTATACTTTTGTCAGTAACAACTTTTGTCAAAGCTATAGGTATTTGATACTACCTTGTAAAAAAGACTTTAGATTTATTTGTAAATTTAACAGTAATGTCAAGATGATTTTGAAGAAATGAATATCTCTATCGGTAATTAATTTGATCAAGGTCATCTATAAAATTATTGCAAATATGTTTCGAACTAATTTTTATGTATTTAAACAGATTTTCATTGTACATTGGTTTGAATGGTGTCAAATTATGGTAAAGTCTCTTTTACATGTAGACTGATCAGATTGTGGAGGCATAGTTCCAACTGAATTTTCTTTAAATCAAAAGATATAGTGCTTCCTATAGAACATTTTCTGATGCGAAGTACCGTGCTGGGAAAGCAACGCATAGCTTCCATACCCGTTGGTACTACCTACCTAAGTACAGACTACGAAGCCATTGTTCATGACCTGAAAATCTTGAGTGGCTGGTCGTCGAGTCCTGACCTGCACGGCGAGGTATTTCAGGTTTCTTAAGAGTACTGGTTCTTCAGTCATCATCTAACCCTCGGTGGTACCGGTGCCTGTCGCTGACCGACCGTTTCAAGGTCATTCGTAAGTAAGAATAGTACCGCAGTGTCGAGGTGACTCAGTCAAACGTAACGTTACTGTGATATAAAAATTGTGAAAATCGAATGTTGGATTGTCCCTTGCGTCCCGATTCGTATTAATTTTGTGAGAGAAAAAATCGTATTCGTGGTGATACCGAGTGGCAACTAAGGAGAGCGTGTTTTCGATCGAGGTGTGCAATTTGAATATTCAGTTGTGGTTTTTGCGTTACTTACTTGTGGTGAATGCTTGTATTTAGTTTTGGAAGATGACCGAGGATTACCGTGATAGAGGAGGTGTCTCTAGGTGAGGTAAGAGAAAAAATTCTTGTTCTCAGAGTAAACACTTAAATAGGCGTTACTTCATTCCTCGCCTAAAAAAAATTGAAACGGTATATTTTAACACACCGTGGAGGTGTAAATAAAAAGTCTTGGATAATACGCGTAACATTTGGTACCATTCCGTTTAACAGAATACGTGTGGGTAAGGCATTTTAGTTTCCGTTTCAAAGAATCGATTTTTATAAATAAAAAAGCGTGTTCGTGGAGGAATTAGATAGGGGTCATTGCTTCGCAAACGCTTTCAAGACGAAAATTACGGAACAATTTGCAAATGCTAGTCATACATTATTAATAGGATCGTTTTCTGTGGCAATTAAATTTATTTTCTTAGTAGTTTTACAGTGAAAAGATCAATATTTATTTACTCAGTTCTAAAGGTTCTCAGGTCCAGTTCACAAGTTGGTAATTTTACCCTGTCATAAATTACCTGATAGCAAGTTTCAGAAACAGGTGTGAACGGTTTAAAGTCCCTTTCCCGCTTCGTTAAAGATACAAGGTGCCTTCACCGTCCACATGCAATATGTTCCCAGCAAGAACCCTTTATTACACGAGGCGATTCCTAAAAATTTCTGTAGGTTAAAGCCTGAGTACGCTAATATCTCTTTTGATTATGGCTTTAACACCTTTGGAATTGTAAGTTAAAATAGTTAATTTTCGGAATAATACCAGCTGTAAAATATACCTAAACTTTTAATAATTTATGGCTTTCTCCGGTCAGTTCGGAATTGACATTTGAGAAGATAAACTAAAAAGACGTAAAAAGTAGTGAAATTTCTGTTGCGTACCTGCCCTAGGTACTAGGAAGTGACCCTAAAATACAAAGGGAATGGTGTCCTAGAACCGCAGTAAATCATTCAAGTGTCTCTTGTTGTTAGTCGTTAGCCTAAAATCTTTGGGACTAAGTACAGAAAATTAATTTTAGTAGAGGAATATGAACTGTAAAGTAAATATTTTATACATTTTAAATTTGAGCGATAGTAGTTACGTACTAACAAGCAGTCGTGTCAAATGTTGCCTTCAAAATTATTAATCTGACAAAATTTTGAGTAATTGGCAAAAGTAGTGAAAAATCACCGAAAATCACGTTGGTAAGCACAAAAAAAATTTGTTCTGAATTTGATTAAGTGGGTTTTTTTATGTATTTTGATGTACTAAATCCAAATCTGATATCCTTTAAGCTGCGTCTCTCCAGACTTTTTTAAAATTGGTAAAATATTAGCGAAAAATCACCAAAAACAACGAAAACTAGCAATATGGCTGATTTTTTTTTATAGCTACTTCAAAGTATGCAGATTAATATAAGAAAAAGTTAATTGGTCTATCGATTTCCCAAAGTCCAAAAAAATTTTGAAAAATATTTTCATTTTCGAAATTCTTTGATATTTTGAACTGGGATGAAGCTGGATAAAAATAAAAAATACTACCTTGTAGGTGAAAATCTGATTTGTTCCTCTCTTTAGTGTCCAACAGAAATCTGACATCATTTTGATATCATATCTTCCTTGGTATCGATTCTTCATTTCACTTATACCTTGATGGAATCTTCCTCCTTGTTCTTCATTGTAGTCTCCAAGGTTTTGAGGAAAGTAGTCAAGGTGAAAAGTATAGTGTATAGGAAGTACAATTTAAGATTCATCAGGCAACCTAACTGTTTGCAATTTTTCAACATCTCTTCAACCAGATTTTCGTTATCCCCACTCTTCTCATTTCCTAAAACGTTCCGAGATATATTTGAAACTTTGCCATACTGCTTTTTTAGTGTCATTCCTTGTAATGAAATTTTCGTTTCGAAAAAGAGTACGAATTTAAGGACCATCTTCTTTCAATTTCGCATCACTTATTGCTGGAAACTTCTCTGCTAAATATTGAAAACAGTCACCGTCTTTGTCCAGAGCATTCAAACTGCTCCATGAAACCAAACTTGATATGAAGTGGTGGTACTAGAATTTTTGAGAACTCCGTTCTCGTTGATCTCTTTCTGAACGTAGTGATTCTTCCTATCCCTGCTATCCCATGAACATAAGAAGAAGCACATCACAAATACATAAGAAATCCACTTGATCAAGTACAGAACAATTTTTTTTTTTATTTTTTTTGTGCTCACTATTGGAGGTGTTTGAGTTAAACGGACTTTAGATTCGGATCCAATACATCAAATCACAGGTACAGACCAATTTTTGGTGTATTCTACACATTTCATCCGTAACACACATTCACACTATGCTTGCACAGTAATGGTCGATGCAGTTCCACACCACATGCTTCGTTGACTATTCGAGTTTGTGCATTAAGTAGTGTACTAATATTTAAATTTAGGAAACAAATTCAATGAATCAATGTACTTGTACAACTCTTGGATAGGCAATAGAATATTTTCCAAAAAGCTTCTGATACTTAAAACTTTCATCGTACGATGATTTCAAGCAGGACACTGAACCGGAGCTCCGACTAGTTACACCCATACCCCGAGTTATCCATTTTATAGTTTTAAACAGACGTAGTTTGCTTGCTACCGTGTTGTTCTAATGTTTTATTACCGGGAATTTTTTCGACGAGATTTACTACATTCTTTTGTTAGAACCAGAAATATTTTCGCTAGTCACGTTTCGTTTTCAGTGATAAACGACATTTCTTGCAATGTTATTATTATCCATCATTGCCTCAAATAAAAAACAAAGCATCTATGACATTTTTACAACTTTTTTATGTTTCACGCAGACAGCACAATAAACAAAATGTGATGAAGGAAGTTCCACTGAATAATGTCAGAAAAGTACCTTTCGAGATGTCATTACCCTTGAAACCATAAAGTCAGCAAAGAAAGTTAAAAAGTGACTGGAGTCCCCCGAATAATATAATGATAATCTGGTTAGCATTCTGTACTAACGTATTTTGTAATAGACAACATAATTATATTGTAGGATTAGCTGACCTGTCCAAATTTCATTAAATTTGTTTGTGATTGTTTTGTGATATTTTGAAAAGCTATTGGAAATGTTTTTACAAAGTGAAAATGAGGAAAAAACGTATTTCTGAGTGATACAAAAATCCCATAGAAAAAAGCTTAGGAAAAAGCAAAAATCCCATAGAAAAAAGCACTTTCTGTTTATCCATGGATGAAATAGAATATAGACATGGATCTGAAGGTACACTAGATTTTTCAGCAACATTAAAGCGTTCCGTATCATCGTCTGTCAATTTTAATCCAATAAAACCACGATGAGGAAATGACTACATTTATGGGCAGGGTGATCGTTCAAAGAAAGGAAGGAACACGACTAAATCTTCGGTGTCCATCTATCGTGCCGAAATTTAGGGCGCTCTCTAATCTCTTCCGAATATTGCATTATTTAGATAAGCCGCGTGGACCGTCTCTTGTTTCACATCTGCCGACCGGGTAATGCGATTTCCTTGTCCGAAGATATTCCCGTAACTTTCGTAGACCCACATAATTCGAGACAATGAAATCGTACACTTTAAATTGTCGGAATCGGAGGCTCAGCGGGCCATTATCGTGGTTGTTGGCTTTTACAGCGTTCTTTTTATTGACAATTCTAAACGGCCAGTGATTTATCGAAGGGTAAAAGTTTGACACTATCGAGGTCAGTTATTTGGTGTGACTGGATCACGATTTTTGAACCGACATTAAGTGGGATTAGGGTGAGGCAATAACTTAAAATAGTCGTGTTGTAAAACATTTTTCTTCGCTTATATCTTATAAAAAAAACTCATATTAAGCTACAGTGAGTAACACTGAAACAGTAAGTTTGTATATGATATGATAAACAAATAGAAGTATTTTTACAACGGGTATATTCCGAATTGTCTAAAAATAATAATTCAATTTCCTTCAATTGAAATGTCTAAGAAACGCTATTTAGATCTGCGGTTTTTGGATAAATTTTAAAACCAACCGATACCGTCTTGTACACGAAAAATTGCAACAGATAGATCTATGGTTGAATCTCAAAAGCTTTCCATTTTTTCCTCTGCGGTTAGAGTTTGACTCACCCAAACTAGAAGGCCTTGTACATACAGGGTGTTAATTAAGTATGTACAATAAATTCAACAAATGCATCGTTTTCAAGATACAAGGTGTTAAACTTTTGTAAAAAAAAATGGTATTTCATAAATATCTTAAATATCCTTTACCCATTTTTGTTGTAATTTGGCAGTGTTACTTGTAGTGTTAAGGGGCTAATTTAACCCTAACTTGATTAAATTTGTTAAGTCCAGTGGCGTCCTGAACGGTACCTTAACGAATATTTTTGACAAAAAAAAAGTACGGCACTGACTTTTTTGTAATTTTTATAACTTTTTGGATTAAGTAACTAAAAATACAACTTTTTATCTCTTTAATGTCTTTCGTATCTTAATTTTTGGAGAAAAAAATAAAATCCACTTAATTGCATATCACTGGACCAAATAAAAAACATTATTAAAAATATATTCCCTATATATTCTCAATTACAAACTCTATTTTACGCACTTGGGCCTAAAACGAAGCGAAAATATTGATTATTTTTAACCACTTTTTAATTTTTAATTACTGAACCTGTGGTTTTTGCATAAAAAAAGTTTTGTATTCTTTTCACACTTTCTATTGCACACCTCCCACGAATGTAATAAAAATAATACATTTCGTTCTAATTAAATTTTTTTTAAACCTTTCACGCTGATTTCACATAGTTAACCTTTTTTATATCGACAGAAAACAAAATGTCCCAATACGTTTTTTAATATTTACAAATGCAGTCATCAACCTTTACAGTGTATTTTAGAGTTTTGTTTGAAAATAGAATTGGTTCGTAAGTAAACTTTTTTCATCGAGATCGTGTTCTCGTGTTGTTTGGCAACAGGTGATATTTAAAGCCAGATTAAATTAAGTTTCACCGTTAAAATTAAATTATTATAAACATAAATAACCGCCTTTCATAACACTCTCCGGCGGTCTATAGCGGGGATTTCTT